CTCAAAAGCCGGCGGACCAGATGACCTCATTCCTGTAACCTTGTGGAAACGACAAAATGATCCAGGTGGAAAACGGATGAGGGGCTGGCAGGTGGGAGGGCGAGGTCACAGGGCAGGCGGGGCAGGGGTGGTGGTTACATGCGCCGGCAGAGATGACCCGGCGCCTCGGGTGGTTACACAGACATTGTACCCACGTTGACTTCCTTTTGTGACTTCAAACTATAGTTCCGTACATAGGGCACCACAGGGGAAACAAAGTGTGGTGCACACAAGGCCTGTATAGGACCCTTGTAGTTGCTGTGACTCAACAGTTATTTCAAAATAAGAAATAAGCACACACACATATGCATGGTTATACGCTACCCCCCACGTGCATGCACACACATACGTGGTTATACTCTACCCCCCACGTGCACACACACCCCCCCACACACACAGCCACCTAAGAAAGGCTCTTGGGAGCATCGTGGACTTTGTGTCCCTGGAGGAAGAGATGACATCCGAGGAAGGCAAGCAGTCTCATTTGAAGCAGCGGCTGCATGGAACCTGGGCATCTCTGCTCAGAAATGTTCTTTGCCCACCTGCCTCCCTTCCTGTGCTGCTGGCACATCCCTCCTGCATTCACTCGCTAGCTAGCGTCCTCCCCTCCTCCTAGTCTGTGCTCTTGGGTCACTTTGACTTCTCTCAGCTCATCACACCGCCACTGACCCGTTTCCTTTCCATCTCTACCTGAGACTGCCAATCAGACATCACTACGGCAACCAGGCCTTAGCGGAGCCATCCCTTGGACCAGGGGGTGGGTCTGAGCTCCTGCAGGAGGTCGCCACAGGACCACTGCAGTTGTGCGCTCAGAGGGAGGCTTTCTGTTAGCACACCCTCTGGTGTGTGTGTTGGGTGGGGGGGGGGGGCAGGGGGAACCATTTACAATGGGTTCTACATGGCATTTGGCTCAGGGAGAATCTACAAACCCAAACCCACGGCCATCAAGGTGAGGCTGACTCACAGCGACCCCCTGTGGGTTTCCAAGACTATCACCGTTGAAGGGAGTCATTAGCCCAGTCTTTCTCCCTGGGAGCTGCTAGTGGTTTCAAACTGCCGACCACGAGGACTGCAGCCCAACCTGAAACCAACCTCCACACCCCCAGGGCCCCTCATGAGGATCTGAGACGACCCCAAAAGACACATCTACTAGGGACGGCCAGAAGCGTTTCTGACGTACAGGCAAGCCAGGCTGGAGCCATGCATCACAGTCAGCGGGCAGCCACCCAGACACACCTGCCTCCAGGCCACCCATCTTTTCTCCCAGGGAACCTGACACCCTTAAGTGGGCCAACGACCAGGCCGCATTACTACTGCCAGCTAAGGAATCCACCACTCTGGGCAGAAGAGCCTGTAGGGCAGACCCAGCTCCCTTCTGCCCTGTCTTCTGAACTCACCTGCATTTCGCCTGCCGGGGGTCCGTTGGAGGGAGCCAAGTCCTAGAACACCTAGGGGCTCTCTTCACAGATTCGGGGTGGAGGCTGCAGAACAGGAAATAAGGTCTCCTCGGAGGCCAGGGCGCCTGGGAGTGGGTGAGGGCAGGGGAGGGTCAACCTCCACCCAGAGCAAGAGGTGTCGGGTAGGAGGTGGAAGAGCATTTCTCAGGCCCCACCTGGCTCTCAGTCAGGAGCCTGGCCTGCGCTGCGGAACAGCCGAGGCTGGGGAGCTGTGTTTTCCGCCTGGTCTAGCGCAGACACACACGGTCCACACACGCAGGCACTCACGCTCCTGTCCTCTCCCCTTAGCTGTGGCACAGGGCAGCTAAGTGGGGCTGGCCTCACCTAGTCACCTCCTGCTGGCCCCAAGGTCTCGCTCTCCCCTGCCCTGTTCCCGACTCCCGGTACCCGGCTACCCTGGGCAGCCAGGCCCAGCCAAGACCCGGCTGTTTTGGAAAAGCGCTGGGAGGTGGCAGAATGTGCGGTCGGCGAGTTCCCTCCAAACTGGCGCCCCGATCCCTGGACAAACAGCGTCCGTGTTTGCCTGTCCACAGCGCCCTGTGTTCTCCTTCCAGCCAGGAGATCCCAGGGGCAGGAGGCCTTGCAGACGTCACTGACCCTCGAGGCCACGAGGGAGAGGCTGGGCCAGACTGACCGATGATAGGACCAGCCCTCCCCCACCCCCAGCCCCCGCTGGGCTCACCCCATGGCAGAGCCACAGACCACAGCTAACATTCCACCAGGGGAGCTGGTATTTACACTGGGAGAGGGACATACTCCCCTCCCCTGGCATGTTTTGCTGTGGGAAGCTGTTGCTGGTGCTGCCAACACTTAGGGACCCTGCAGACCCCTGTTTGAGGAAGCCTCACAGAGCTCATAGGTGCCAGGTGGGGCAGGGGACCCCGTTTCAGCACCGGTGTTATCTCTCGCATCTGCGTGGCCTTAGGTTAGTCACTGCCACTCTGGGTTATGGAAGATGGGCAGACCATGCTGCCTCTTTCAGACCCTGGGGAGCGGGGTGGGGGGCGGGGTGTCTGTGCTGGACTCCGTGGGCACAGGCCTGGCATGGTGAGAGGGTAGCAGATGCAGAAGATGGCCCAGGCGAGGGAGCCCTCAGCCAGGGCTTGCTGGATGTCCTGCCCCAGGGGCCTCTGTTCAGGAGGTGTTGGGTTACCCTGACCCTGTCCCGCAGGGGCCCTGTGTCCAGGGTGTGGCTGGGCCGGGGCCATCTGACAGCGGTCAGGTCTGACTAGGGCCAAGGGAGAAGCTTCAGCCACCAGGACAAACAGCGGCTATGGAGTCCGCCCCGACTCACGGTGGCTCCGTGTGTCCATTCCACAGCTCTGACCTGTCAGGAACCCAAGGGTGAAGGCCCTTGGCCACTTAGTTATTAACCAAGAGGGGGGTGGTTGGAAGCCACTAGTCGCTCCATGCTCCAGGGGACCCCCTGCTTCTTTCTGTGAAGCTTATAGTCTCGGAGAGACTGTCCCATACAGTCGCTGACTCAGGCCTGCTCCATCAGGTCTTGGGCAGTGGGTTCGGGTTTTAGTGTGTGGGGGGGGTGGGGGGTGTCCTTTTGGAAGCAGTTTCCCAGGCCAGGTCTTTCTTTGAAGGAGCCTCTATAGGCCAGTGGTTCTCAACCTTCTTAATGCCACAACCCTTTAATAAAGTTCTTCATGTTGTGGTGACCCCACCCCCCTCACCCCCGATAAAATTATTTTCACTGCTACTTCATCACAGTCATTTTGCTCCTGTTATGAATCAGGCAACCCCTGTGAAAGGGTCTTTCGACCCCCAAAGGGGTCGCGACCCACAGCTTGAGAACCGCTGCTCTAGGCAGGTGCAAACCCCCGACCTTGTATCACAGGTCATGGCAGGACCCTCCCTTGGTCCTGGCCTCTCGCCTCTGAGGAAGGCTTTCATAAGGTGTGGTCACTGACAGAAAGAGGAGAGGGTTCCATCATGTAGACTTGGGGGCTGCTGTCACCTGTGCCCACCACTGTCCCTTAGAAATCACAGCCACGGCTCTGGCTCCCGGCTCAGGGAAGTCCTGCGGCAAAGAAAGGGGCTTCACTTTAACCCAGGGGTGGGGAACGCCTGGCCCTCGGGCATCAAATACCACCCCCCAATGATCAATGCCAGCTAGCATCAGAAGCCTCTCCAAAGAGCAGCAGCTCCAGCCACCACGTGAGGGGCAGTGAAGTCACGGCTGGACCATCCAGGCGGAGAACGATGTTATGAATACCCAAATGGCCCTTGGCAGAAACACGGCTCCCCGCCCCTGCTCACCCCTTTCCCACCCTTTATGTGATCATGGAATCTATTGGGTCATGCAACACCCTTGACACTGGCTTTGAGAAATGGCAGCTGGGGGGGCATGAGGCCAGGACTCAGGAGAGCAGGATCCTGAGGCTTGGCTCGGAGTCTGTGGCCAGCATGGTCCTTGCTTCATCACACAGGACGGGCTCTGAGGACAAGTGCTTCCACTTTTACGTCCAAGACGGAGACGCCCCGCACAGCCCCTCCGGGGGCCCCACATGCTGCCTCCTGGAAGGCTCAATGGGTTACCTCTCTACCCTCCCCAGGGGAGAGCCCTGCTCCCCATCAGCTGCACGAGACATCGCTGTGCCAAGCAGCTCCAGGCTGGCCTCACACTTCAAGGCACCAGGCTCCTCCCTGGTGGGTGGGACAGGGGCTGCGAAGGCAGACACCAGAGAGGCAGACGCGGCTGAGTCCCCACAGTTTATTACAGAAGCTGAGAGAAGAGCACGTTGAAGATTTCTAAAATCACAAGATGCACATCACGCGGTTATCTTTAATACGCACCCTGGACGATTATGTACAGATGAAAACTCACAGGCCACCAGTTCCACCTCCAAACGAAACACACGAGTGCTTTTTTTCCCTCAATATTAAAACAACTGTGATAAAAACATATTAATATTTTGAACCATGTTTACAATAGAAGGGGGGAAATCCATACTTTACTAAATAACAAATATTTAACAGCAACAACTTTATACTAAATATCTATTTTGAATTATAACAAAAATAGTACTTATAATAGTTTATAAAGACAGACACAACATTATAATATTTATGGGGGGCGGGGCGGGGTGGGGAGGGGGGGGGGGGGGTTGGTGTGTAAAATCGTGAGAGCCACCTGGCAGGGTCCGGTGGTGCTGAGCACAGCGGCCGGCCCGCACCTGGTATGAAAGTGCTTCAATCTGCAGACCCGTGGCAGGAGAGGGTCTGTGGGGCTTTGCTTCTTTTTGTTTTTTTAATTAATCAAGTTACAAGAGTTAGGAATGGTGAGAAAACAACCCCTATCTAGCGCTCCCGCTAGCAAACAGACACACGGCCAGACACAGACACAGGGTCCTGGGTACAGAATTACAGAGGGGCATTGGGAAGGGGAGGGGGGGGGAGGACAGGGGCAGTGGCGCCGCAGTGTGGAGCCCACCCACCCCCACCCGCCAGCCAAGCGCTTCCCTCCCTTTGAAACAAACACCTAGCAAAACAAATGACTCTTCTTTCCCCCACCCCTCTGCTTTCCTTTCTCGGTCCCCTTCCCAGCTGCCCCCTGTCCCAGCTCCTGCCTCCTCCCTCCTAGAGCCCAGCCAGGTGGGCTTCAGTCTGAAACTTCACTTCCTGCTCCCCTGGAGTCTGCCGGAGCCGGCTCCTGGGTCAGCCTGGAAAAGCAGCCTGGACTCGGTGTCCTGGCGAGTGGCCAGTCCCGGAGCGGAGGGGAGGCCCCTCCGCAATCTTTGAGAGTCTTCACATTTGCCTCTTTTCCAGAATTTGGGAGATTTTACCACCTTTTCTTTTTAAATGCCTTTGAGCGGGGGAGGGGGGAGTTAATGACGTCTAACCTACAGCAAGGTCCTTGTGTTTTTCTATGCCCAGTGGAGGTCGGAGCCAGAAGAGTGGCAATCAGCCTTCTGCAGGGTGAGGCCCCCCCCTCCATGTCACATAGCAGGGCCGGGGGCCCGGGACGGCCATCTGGGGGGTGTTAGTGGCAGCAGGGGCAACTTGGGGGTCAAGTGCTTCATTCTTTAGTGTGCTTATTTCCTTCTAAAGAGGGCTCCTTACTTTTATCACATGGAAAGCCAATAGAAAGCCAGGCAGAGGAAGCAAACAAAATTCTACAAACAGGCAAAATTGCTTAGACTCATCCAAGGTCCCCCCAACCACCTAGGGAGGCCCCCCAAATTACCCACACTCCAAATGCCAGCACCAGGAGCTATTCTCTCCACTGCCATCGTGCCCGGCTCTCCAATCTCTCTGACCACATCACACATGCCTGCTCCTCAGCCCCTTATAGCCCCCATGCCCCGCAGGCTGGGGGAGGGGGCTTATCTTCCACACTCACCTCCCCCTGGCTTTCATCTTGCTCCCGCCCTCCCTCCTCAGCTGGGCTAAGCAGACAGTGACTGCACAGAGGTGGGGAGGGGCTTCGAGGGCACCGTCCTATGGGCTGAGGGCAGAGGGTCAAGGAAGGGAAGCCGAGGTTACACTCCCACCAAAGCCGCCCTCGCTCTCTGGCCAGCGTGCTCCCCGGGGTGAGGAGGGGGCTGTGGTGGCCTCCTCATGGTGGTGAGCAAGCTGACAGAACAGGGAGGGTGCCAGTGGGCCGTGCCTGTCTCCACCAGGAGACAGAGCACCCAGGCGCTGGGTTTCGTGCCGGCCAGGAGCCATGCTCGAGATTGAACCCAAATAACTTCTGGACCCGGAGAAGGTTCAACTGTAGGCCAGAGAGCCTGCTCCATTGGGAGACCAGCGCCCTCTCCTCACACTCAGCAATTTGGCCCGGGAGTGGAAGAGAGACTGGGGCAGGAGGTTCTGTGAGCTACAACCCCTAACAATGGGGAGAGGTGGTGAATAAATACAGGGGGGGTGGGGGACAGGGTGCCCAGGACCTCAGGGAGGTAACAGGAGAACAAGGTCTGGAGATGGGAGCTCTCAGAGGTCAGTGGGCGTCCCCAGGGCCAGCAGGAGGGGTGCTGGGAGCACCTTTGCCCCATGACCACAGAAGAGGACAAGTAGCCCCAATCGGTACTTTGTAAGGTCCAGGCTGGCAGGACAGTGGCCCCTCCAGGGACGGCTGCGGGCTCCACCCCACCCCCTCCCGCCAGGTTGGCTTGTCTTCTGTTATCGAGAGGATGCTGCTCTTCATGTGGACCAGGCCCGCGCTGGGCAGTGCAGAACGCAGGGCGCACACTGAGCAGAGGGCCCATGCGGGCACCCGTTTCTCTCCCTCCTCACTCTAGCCACATGACACCGAGTCAGTCCTGACTCCGGGTGACGCCACTCGAGTGGAGAACCATGCTTTAGTGGCGGCTGAGGCCAAGCCTGTGTCCTGAGGCCCCACTAGGCCAGTTCAAACCTCTCCGCTGGCAGGTGAGGGCTGTCACGGTGGCTACCCCTCAGGGACTCAACTCTAAACTCCAAGGGCCTAAAAGCAGCGGGAGGGGAGGAAAGGGGAGGGATACCGGACACAAGCAAACACTGTGATACAAGCAAACAGACCATAACACTGTTGGGGGCATGCAGAGCTCCCCGCCCCCACCCCACTCCACCCCCCACGAGCTGGCCTGGGGGACCAAGGCCGAGGCTGGAGAGAAGCAGGAGCCCAGGAGAGCCCCCACCTCCAGGAAGTGGGGCCCTTTTGGCTTCAGGTAGGGTTTGCCAGGGCAGGGATTAGGGGAGGGCCAGGTATGGGGGCTCCAGCCCCCTCCCACACACAGGTTTCTACCCTTCCATCACGCCCACCCCAGTGCCTGAGCTGAGTTGGGCCGAGGTGGGGCATGGGGGGCAGTGCCCCTAGACCGTGGCGCTCAGCATGGCCTCCGTCTCGGGCAGGATCTTGTTCTGGTTCGAGTCCAGGCCAAAGAACTTGACGCTGAGGCCGTCCACAGGGTGTAGGATGGGGACCAGGGTGATGCGGGGGAAGGTCCGGGTGGCCAACTCGAAGCGGCTGGTGCAGGCCAGCTCCACCGCCAGCACCTTCAGGAACAGCTTGGCCAGGTGTTTGCCCAGGCAGGTCCGGACGCCGCCGCCGAACGGGAGGTAATGGAAGCGGCCGTCCTTATCCTCGCTGCGCGCCTGGCTGAAGCGGTCGGGGTCGAACACGTTCACGTCTTTGAACACAGGGGCCGTGTCGTGGGTGTCCCGGATGCTGTACATCACACTCCAGCCTTTGGGGATCTGGAAACCCTGAATGTGGGATGGCGGGGGAGGGGGAGAGGAGGAGCATGTATAAGGGGTGCTGGTGAGGACCAGGGGAGCCAGGACGATCCCAGATGCCCAGCCCTGCTTCTTCCTAGAAATACCGCCCGGCAGCCCCCCGAGACCGAGCCTCCTCTCAGCATGCACCTAGGCTTTTACTGCTAAAGGGTGGCAGGAAATCCAAGCCAGCTTCAACTGGGGAGGTCCCACTCCCCCCCACCCACCAAGGCTCTCCTGGTTGAAGGCCTGATGCCGGCACTGTCTCCCCCAGGGACAGCAGTGCCCACCCCTCCGGCCCGGCCCGGGCCCAGCCTTACGTCGAGCTCGAAGGTCTGCAGCACCGTGCGGTAGCCACCCGAGATGGGCGTGAAGAGGCGCATCACTTCCTTGATGACACAGTCCAGGTAGCGCAGGCTGCTGAGCGTGTCCAGCTGCAGGCTGCCCTCACAGGGGCAGCTGCCACCGTGCAGGATGCCGTGGGCCCGAAGCTCCTCCCGCAGCTTCTCCAGCACGGCCGGGTGCTTCAGCAGCTGCATGATGAGCGACGTGCTGGCGCTGGCCGTGGTGGCATAAGCCGCGAAGATCAGCTCCAAGGTCCCATCCTGCAGCCACACAGAAAGGGTTGGGGGGCTGCTGACCATCTGCCACCAGCCACTGTGGCAGCCAGGGTAGCTCACACAGAGAGGAAAGGCAGCTGCCCGGGGAAGGCCTGGGAGCCAGGCACGGTGCAGACAAGGCTGTGTGTGGAGGGTGCAGGGGGGCAGGGGAGGGGGGTGCCTGGACCCAGACTTGTGAGGGTCTGGGTGGAGCGAGGAGGGGAAGGGAGCAGAATCCTCGAGGGGAGCAGGGCATAAGGGTCATGGTCCCCAGAGGAAGATCCTGGCAGGCCATCAAATCCCAACCCTGACACACACACACACACACACACACACACACAACCAACGTGGAGACACACAC